TTACCCATTAAATAGAGTAGAACCTCAAACAGGTGTCATGTTACAACAACCTTTCTAAAACGGCCACTTTCCTCTGTCCCCAAGGTGGCCGTTGTGGAGAAGTTTGACTGTATGACTAATTTGATGGGAACAATATTCCAAACACAGAAAAAAGTTGAAAATATGGCCCTTACTGGAGCTTTGATTGATTGACCTAAATGTAAATTGGCAGCTTTCCTTGATTAGCAAATCTGCCTCTTTTTAAAGGAAATATATAGAGTAAGCGAAATTAACGAATTTTTTGAATTTTGTCCAGATTGTTTTCACGGAGGCAGACAGAGCGATCAGATACAACGATCAAATTCCTCCACATCATCATGAGTTTAAATTTGAGCGCAATGCCGCTGACCCGTATGAGCGAGAAATTGGTACTCAAGTGTTGATGGATATTCTGCTATTAGCCAAGTGTGATCAGTTCTTACACACCGAGTCCAGCGTAGCCTCTCTTGCCAGCTACTTCAACCGACATATGACCAGCCACTTTTTGCAGAATGAAGAAACCGAGGTTTGTTTGAATCACTAAATTATAATAATATACTTACTTTGATTGATACTATAAAAATTCTTTTGGTCTGTTAGATTGCGGGCAGTCTGTGTTTCCCTCGAAATCAGAGGGAGATTATGACAAGACATTTCAGTCTAAAAGGGAATGGGACGAGAAATGAGGGACGAGTGGCATTTAGGAGCATTCTCGTTCCCAAGGCTCCGCCGGCTAAGAAAAGTGAATAGGACTATGGGGACGAGAATGACTCAGGAAAAGATTTTTTCATCTCGCCCCAACTTTTTTTCGTACATGCAGCCCTTTTGCGTCCTTGCATGTTCACAGATAACATTCGTCTGACTCTAAGAGGAATAACCGGCTGCCAGGAGTCTTTTGCCATGCCATTTCTAAGCAGTAAGAATTCATTACCAATTCTCCGTATCGTATCTAAACTTAAGCATTTATCTTGCAGGAGCCAGAAGAGTTTCGTGAAAGAAA